CAGGACAACAAACCTGACAGGTTATCTGACTGCACTTTCGAAGGAACGAAAGCGTTCAGAGTTTGACAGCCGAATACCAAGAAGACGCCGATGATTCGTATGATATGCAAGTCTACTAATTCTGGTTTAGCTCACATGCCATCACGCGGTATGCATTCTTCATCATACAGAGGAATTTAATGACTTGTTAGGGAAGTGTTTAGGTGAAGTTGATGCCTCACACTCAACCTGACGCTAAGCTCACTCAGTTTGACGATATCTACTACAACTTGAGAACGTCAATGCTACCCGTGCCGAATGTAGTGCTTTACCTAGGATAATTCTTCTGAAAGTGTAAGTATTCCCTGTGGATCCTTTCTCGACTTATTTTCTGAGGGTAAAACTGTCTACAAGACAGACTCTACAAAAAAGCAGATACTTGTCATAATTACACATCTTGTATTCTGTTAATATCTACCAATCTACCCTTTAATGCGAACTAACTAGCATCCCTACATCACAAATATCCGTGCATCATGTGTATGGAGGGAGGCGAACGGCCACATATTGTGTTCAACATTTAACGCGGTTATACGGGTTGTGGTGCAAACTCACTTTTTGGCCAAATAACACCGACAATAGGCCTGGAAACGGACCATGATGTCAGTCAGTCGAATGTCTCGATCCTCCTCCAACTGCGCAAGTACACCTGCCTTGAAAAAGATCTTGCTCTGGCCCAGTCGGTAGAGCTCAGGACTGAGTTCCAAGTGCTTGACCATCAACTCCACAGCTTTCCGACCATCCATGTAACCCTACGGGGGGGGGAAATAATGATGAAGGTTAGTCATACTCTCGGTTGAAGGAATAGCGCGTGTTCATTGTGTGGTCTGCGTTTTATCAAAAAGGTATGCATAGCTCTACCTTTGAAAATATATCGGGGGTCAGAATCTCATAGCGCTGACGGAACTCTTGGAAGGGAACCCGAGATGGGAAGCCCTGACGACAGATGCGTATACCCTCGAGGACACCGTTGCACTTCAGCTGGTCCAGCACCAGAGGCACGTCGATGCGGCCGGCGCGCTTCTCGTGATTTGGAATGATACACCGAACAAAGTTGGGATTTGTATTCTGCAGGACGGTCATGAGACGGATGAGGGATTCCTTGTACAGCTGGCTGACGGTACGCATCATGCCCTTGCGAACGGAACGTGCCGGACCAAACTGAGTCTCGTTACCGGCAGTGGCCGACATGCTGACAATTTCTGCATCCTTCCAGATGGCCTAAAGGCAGAAGTCAAAAGGGGTAGAGAGACAGTAGTTAAATGGGATGGTGGATACGAGACGAGGCACACTCAAGACCAAAAAATGTTAAAACTGTACCGAATCAGTCAACAAGTCAAAGAGTCTAGGAAGTACATTTCAAGAAGTTACAAGCAAACTGGAAGGATTTTTTGTCATCAGATGTTTTAAGCTCTTAGCAGCCCATGGGAGGAATACATTTAGTCGGACAGCCGATCCACTTTAACACAGGAGTACCTTATCACACGGACTTTATCGAGTCCTCTAGCAAGACTAACACAAAATAAAGCGAGTTGGGTTGCATATGAGTTTGTACAGCTAACCAACCGTGCATGTGGATACGAGCTATATGGTCATTTAAAGGCTTTAACAATCTAAACTCGATTGTGCCTAGTCAAGAACATGCTAACGTGGAACTTTAGATTCGCAGTTCGATTTCTACGAGAGTAAAGAAGATCTGCAGGTATAAAGTCTGGATGTCAGTTCAGCACAAGTAATATATGTTAAAGTTGAACGAGCTTACGTCTAGTGGTCTGGCCTGTCCTTTGCATGCCATGCACTAGGTGCCCAACATCCCAGTTAATGACTGCTGAATACGCGATATGAAAGTGCAGACTAAGGCATAGAGCTAAAAGGTCGATTGCACAGGCGATGGGGAGACGCCTCAAAAGTGAGCATCATATAAAAGCGTCGCCTGGTGACAAATGCCGCTTGATGCATATTAAAATAATAC